GAGAGGGGGGGAGGGAGGCAAGGCCCAATAAGATCCAACCCACAGTTAGTCAGCACCCCCAAGAATAACGGCGAAGATACGCCATTGCAACCTTAACTTAGCGCCAGATAAAACGCATATTTTTACTTAGTCAACAGCACAAACAATCGATGAAGTGCCCGAACCTGAAATAAAAAGCTACAATATGCTCTCATGTATGACATCACACTTCCCCTTTTAAATAATATGTATTTACATATTAACTCACACATGCATATATATTTTATACGTAGTGGGTATATAAATATATATATATATATGTTTTAATATATAAAGAGAGACGGGATCGTGAACATTAAGAAAATATTCACCCCACAAAAGAGCGCGCAAGAGGGTGTGGGGCGAGGGGCGGGCGAGACATGTGACTTGCTTTTTTTTTTTTATCAGCAAAGAACGGCCTACAATGCATTCCTAAGGGACTAGAGTTTAAAATTAATCAAAATAGCCCCTAATCACTCCCTCTCATTTACTCGAAACATGAAAATAAATAAACATATTTTCAGCTAAAAATAAAACAAACATTTGATTAACAGCAACCTCTTTTAAGGACACAGCACTTCCTTCGAAACTTAGATCGAGTTCCTTATTCCTCCGTTTTTACAGCATTATAAAATCCCACAACATTTAAAGCAAAAACTACATCTTTGCATTCTCCCATTCCAAAAAAAGCAGACACTTCTCACATTTTAAAGAAATTTTTTTTGTACCATCTAAATATAATATAGATTGATTAACGAGTGTTCAATAAAATCAGAATGATACCGACTGCAGAATGCAGCATACTGAAAAATATTCAGGCCAAAGAGATCGGAATCCTTACAAAAAGTCAGAATAAAAATGGGATTTAAGAAAATTTACCTGTGTCAGACATAAAGGTGATGCATACATGGTTGAATAGGGTATCCTCTTATAGTCCACTGTTACATGCACAAAGTTACTGAGTCATAGGCAGAGGCTGTAAAGTCGCTTCTTGTAAGATCCCACATCCGACTTTCTTTCTCCCCCCAAAAATAAAACAATTTCCACAAAATACACATTAAAAAACATTAAAGAGATAAAGCGTCCCCAGGGAATTCCAGCCTAGCGTAGCAGGCAGTAGGGTCTTTGGTTGAAAAATCCTGCCACCCTCCCTGGACCCCCAAATTTAGGCTTCCCAACAGGGAGGTGGAAGGCAACTTTGTGAATTGTGTTCCATTAGGAAAATGAGAACAGGAACGATAGAATTAAAAAAGAGAGAAAAGAGAGAGAGTGTGGGAAGGAGGGGGGGAGGAGGAGAGGAGGGTTGACGTTTTAGATCAAGCCCATCCTACAGTAAGAAGAAAAAAAAACAGATATAAAATGACATCCCTTTAAAGTTGTAGGATCCACAGACGGAGGGTGAAAAAGCCTTGATGGGTGAGAGACGAGGGCCAATGATATAAACCTTTCTGTACTTCAGCTATCTGGAAATAAAAAGAGGCGACGTGGTTGGGTACGTGCCAAAACGTCTACGAAAGTGTGTAATCTAAAATTAATATAATTTACCGGAAAAGGGAAAACTTTGCCCTGCAGAGAAACTGTTAAAAGTACTTGGTACGATCAAGATCCCTCTCCGTCTGCTATAAACTAGGAATGGGTGTTGCTCCACAGACAATATTATAACTGACATGATCTAAATATCGAAGGCTCCACTGCATTTTGCAGGTCATCATCACAGACGACAAGGCATGCAAGCAGACATACACATACAAAGACACTCACGCAGACTGCAGAGCTGGTTACATTATGAATTAAGGTGGTGGGCAGACAAATGGCAAGGAGCAAGCTGCTCAAATAATCTGTGCAGACACACCGCATTGAATGGATTCAGTACTCTGATGTCATTGTGCAGAGAAATGTACTGTTCTACAATGGACTTTAGAAGGGTTTACTTCAATCTGTGTCTATTGATGGCTCGGAAACAAAGAGCGGAAAAAAAAAGATAAATTTAGAAACATAATACTCTCACAAACATCTGTAATGATATATATTTGAGAAGGAGACAAGTATGTTCGATTGTGGGACATTCTAGATAATAAGGAAGTGGTTAAAAACAGACCTACGCAGTTAATTTGTTACACAAAGATCAAGATTTTGTATTACCTATCATTGGTGTGTTAGGAGCAAATGTGCCAATATATGTCTAGTGTGAAAACGTGCATCTGGAAAAAAAATGCTTCCTAAAATATATCCGTAGTAATTGCATCCACATAACTATACAACTGCACTAGAGTCCTACAAAGTGTCTATCAGCAGCTGTGATTGTTCAAACACACACAAACAGCTACACAATGAGATGTCACAAAATGTCACATAAGCAACATGTGAGCAATTTTAATATGAAAAATAATCCATTGCCCTGTTCTATAGAGCAGGAAAAATATTTAATTCACTAAATGACCCTAATTATGTGTGTTAATGAAGCCTTGGTCACAACAATATAATTTCTCCCAACCTTTCCCAATTTTACAGTGAATGAGTTAAAAGCGTAGAAGCAAACCTCACAGTTCAGGGTACATCACATAAAACAATATATATCAAGGTGCTGAAGGGTTAATTTCTAGTTTGATATAAAAAGGCAATAAAGTGACTTTACTTGTAACTGAACCATAATAAAACCTAAAGAATGCTTTGACCAAAGATATTTTTTACTAAAAGAGAAGTCTGGAAATGGAACAACACCTCTTCTTCTTATTCTTAGCTTTTAATTATTCCAGTTTGTAGAATAACATTTACATATCTATCTATCTATCTATCTATCTCATAGTAATATCCCCTGGATGTTGTGCAAAAAGTAACATCCCCAGGACGTACTTGGAAACCATAGTAATCGGAATGTACCTTTCCTGGTAAAATACTTCATTATTATTAGATAGATTGGCAGATAGATAGATAGATAGATAGATAGATAGATGGATAGATAGAATTAAAATGTAACCAATGTGAATAACTTTGTTGTACAGATCTTTTTCCAAACAGTGGTGTTCAAGGAAATGAAGAATTCCTGATAAACATTAGTATTTGGAATATATTTGATATTTGTTAAACTCTTTTCAAACACATCAACATTCCTTGCAAACCCCCAAAAAATAAAAGTTTACTGACAACTTATTAAAGTCATATAAGTATATGCAGATTAGGTTTTATTTTGTTTGTTTTTTGCTCAAGAATATACTTTTTGTAGTGTTACTAAGTACTTTTTAATTGCTGGTTTTGGAAAGTAAAAAATTGTATCTATCCAATGCCACAAACTGATAAAATATATATAATATTATATATATATATATATATATATATATATATATATACTTCCTGATATTTGACATAGCACCAGGATTTTGGGAGAAAAAAATGTCCAAATAATTACTAGACGTATTCATCTAAGAAAAAAAAGAAGAAAAAAAAAACCTGACAACTGGAATCAAGTAATTATTCAATAGATGCAACAATTTCATTTACTGAATTAAAAATAAATTGACATATTCTAAAATTTATCTTTTAGGTATATTTAATTAATATATATATATATATATATATATATATATATATATATATATATATATATATATATATATATATATATATATATATATATATTTATATTTGACAGCTGGGTAAAAAATGTTTTAAAACCTTTCTTCAGACACTTCTCAAAGTAATTTTAATATAATAAAATGTCAGTATAACCATAGTTGTTTAATGAGTTGCCAAAATTCCAAACGGTTTCTTTTTAGAATGTAAGATTCTAGTGACCTGAAACTAAACCCACTTTTTTCTGTTTTCACATGATAACTTTTTTTTGAGCCATTGTTTGTTTAGAGCTGTTTCTCTGTGACAAGTAGATAAGCTGGCTGACACCAGGTCAAGTTCAGACAGTTTGCAATAAAGCCCTGCCTTGACTTGGCATTGTCAGACAACCCCTGGGCTCTCTCTTTCTCTCATGTAGATGGCATCATGCTCACACCTTGCACAATGTGTGCAGCTGCCAGGCGCTAACATGAATCTGCATCCGCATTGCTAACCCCACAGCTCTGCTGCACCCTCACCCCTCTCTTCCCTCCCCTTTGCAGTTCCAGCTATGCCAGGATAGCTGTCCTGCGGGGCTGGCTCGGGCCGCCTGCCTCTTTAATACGGCTCTGTCTGGTGCACTGGCCGAGTCAGGCGTGTCTTCCCCCCGGCTCCACTTCCAAGTTCATGCCGATGTCTGCTCTAGGTCCTCCCCTTCCTACGCGGCCATTTTTAGCCAGCTCCAGCCTCTTGTCTGTTAAACAAAATACTACCCACCCCCTTGTCCTAAATTCCCCTCCTCTTCATATGCCATAAAGCTGAGCATAGAAGGGTGAAGGGGGGACACCCCATTAATATATAAGGGGCATGGATCTACTGCAACACCCAACACACCAGCAAGACACCCAGCAGCCCCTGTGCATGCTAGGCAGGATCAGCACCCATCTGCATTGTGCCACTGGAACAGGGGGGATTCCAGGTCCCCCCATCCCCGCCCCACCCACTGCACCCACAATACTGGCACTGCCACCTACCATGATCCAGCTCACTCACTTCCAGTGCCTTCTACAATAGGGAGTCCAAAATTAAGCTAGAGGTGCAACCAGGCTCATGTTAATAGATCCACATGTTCTTCCCAGGTCCATCCTTGCTGTGCAGAGGGGAGGTGGTGACCGGTCCCCCCACCCACCCCCAGTCGCCTTGTGTCCTGTCTCAGGCTACTGCGGGTCCCCCATGCCCCTGTCTCCTCTCTCTCTCCCTGGTGCTGTGAATGAAATGCTGAGTAACATGGTGTGTGATCCTGCGCTGCCCTCCCCACTGCTCCAGCTAGGGAATTACTAAACTGAGGGGGGTGAAGGGGGGGTGGGGGGGAGAGTGGTGGTGAGTGAATTAAAAAACAAATCCCTAAAAATATATACTGTTTTACCTAAGCTGTTCTGATATTAGGCTGAAAATAGCTGACAAATAACTCCAGTATCAGGATATGGCACAATCAGTATCTATTGCTGAATCTCTGGCGGGGGGAGGGAAGGGGGGTTGTGTGTGTTTTGGGGAATGTGGAATACTGTGATAAACATTACGATGTATCTGCCTGGCTGGCCAGGCTTTTTATAGGTGTGCTAGTGATTTATCCTGCGTTCCAAAAAAGTATTCTCTTCCAATTACTTTCTGTTCTACCTCCTATGGTCCCTGCTCATATTCTTCCCCACGAGTTCTTTCCTCCGGACTCCCTGTGTACTCCCTTCCCCCTGTCTCTCCTCACACTTCTATCATGCCCCCTCTCCCTCTCTCCACTTCTCATTCTTCACTCACAACCTCTAATGTCTCTCCTCCTACTGATCTGCATATACCCTCCCCTAAGCACACTCTGCCCGTACCCAGCTAGAGGGTGCCCCTGGCATATGCAGGGGTAAGGGAGGAGTTGGGCTCTGTCTAACACCCCCACACTATACAAAGATATTAACCCCTCCACAGCAGCTAGAATATGTAGAAATCAAACCACATCACCTTTTATTTTATTTTTATTTTTTACAAATTTACACTCACTAAATTGTTTCACTACTGATGAGTTTAACACCCACAACTATCTTTTAATTGATTTTTGTCTCTTTTTTTTTCTGTATTACCGCATACATTTTAAATTGAACTTTCAATAGTACATCTCTGGGCGATATTAACTAAACAGTGATTTGATGGGTTGCGAACTCAGTTTCAAACCAGTTGGAAGAATAGATGAGACTCGGGCAATACTTAACTATTTAGTACTTGTATTTTTCGTTTTATACCAGCCCATCATTGTTTATGGTATTAATACATAGTTATATATCTATTTATAAAATATTTTACTAGGAAGGATACACTGAGATTTTTTTCTCGTTTTCTTATATATCCTAGCATATATATTATTTTTATTTATTTTTTTCTCATCTTGCAATGTATTTAAACTTATGGCTCCACATACACCTCTCGCTGTCACTCTAATGCTTTATTGAACTATTAAATACATGTGCTTACATTGCACTTTAAAACCTGTAGCTCAGTAAAGAACATTATAGAATTCACCCTATAGATCAGGGATGTTATAGGAGTGTTATTTATGACTTCATGATCAGTATAGAAACCGGGATAGAATGTGCAGAAATCCAACATTCTATTCATACCAATAATTAGCAGACAATTAGTACTTTGTTAATAGGGTTGCCCCCTCTGTTTATTTGAGACATAAAGGGGAGGGCGTGTATTTATGAATTGCGCACACACATGGATCAGACTGTGCACACAGGGTGTCCTTGTCTGACCCCGCTCAGTACAGGAAACTCAAGGGGGGTGGGGAGGAGGGGAGGGATGAATGTGTTACAGAGAGCCAAAGCAGTAGGGAGAGAAGGGGGAGTGAAGCCGGGTGTATAACTGTACATTTTAATAGTATAAGGAGATCAGAGTGACCTAGTGAGATACGTATACAATTATAGTTAGGAGTATGCTATTGTACAGGTAGCTATTGTATTATACTGGATAATAGTTGTGAATGTGCATGTGTAGGACCAGTTTTTGCATTGGCATCCTATGGTGCAACCAGGTTACACCTGCTTAGAGGGATACTACATATCTGCTCGAAGGTTGCCCGAGGTTCTATTAGAAGAGGACTTCATATAAGGATGTACTAGAGACTGGGGAGCTCATAGATGCTTCTTACCTGATTTGGGGAAGTTGTTAATGGGCACCGAGATTTTAAATAATTAACATTCAAAAGCATGCACTCTTCTTCGGCGTACTGATTGTATTACTTATTAAATAGGTCAAAGCAGGGACTCTCAAAAGACATCACCCGCACTCTATTTTGCACAAGTTATTATTTAGTTTATTATAGATGCAGTAGATTACTCAGCATTCTACAGTATAACAGGGTTACAACATGTTGACACTTAAAGTAGCTATGTCCCTCTTACGGGCTGTTGCCTATTTGCATTCGCCCCCAGATGGTGACACTCCCATTTTGTGTATGTCCGCATGCACAATAGTACAACACGGTGGTCGATTGAGGATCTTCCAGGAACTCTATGCCTATTTTTTACTTTGTAGGAATCGACAAAGTTTGGTCTTGCCGTTTATCAATTTATGTCGGCCATGTCTTTGTCCACAAGGCAAAGTTGTCCCTACTTTGTATTTATAATACTTTTTAAATGCGTTGGAATTCCAATGAAATGCATTGGAATTTCAATAAAATTCCAATGCAGTCTACATGGACAGTTTGTAAAGATTTGTGACCAGAGATTACAGAGGCGCGTAAACAAACATTACAAAATGTTTAGCATAACGTACATAAGATTATGAAGGTTATAGAATGGAATATTAGGAACAGGATATACAAGGATTAACTGCAAATATGGTAGTTCTGAAGTGCTAGTACAACAGTCTAATTTAAAATGGGCTACAACAAACAAAAGGTGGTCACGTGCCAAAGTAAGAACATACATTAGGTAATGAAGGGGTGGTGTTAGCACATCACAGCATAGTGTGTAATTTTACTTGGTAGTGAGCCGAGCTTAGTTGTATTCATGTTAGCAGTTTTAGAGTATAAGAACTTACCATTGCTTAGGGCAATTTGCAAACTAGATGTAAACAAAATGAAATAGAACTTTGGGTTGGGGCCAGACAAAGCTGCAAGGTCTTCCCAAAGGAACATGACGATCATGGGATAATATGAGTTTATTTAGTTCATGGGTCGTCAACCTGGTCCCTACCGCCCACTAGTGGGCGTTTCAGGATTCCAGGTGGGCGGTAGAGATTTCCTCAATTTCAGAGATTGGGTGGGCGGGAGGGCGGGAGGGCGGGAAGGTGGGTGCGAGCCGGCGGTACCCCAGCGACCGGGTTCCTGCCGTCACCATTTGCCCCGGGGCTGCCGTCCAAGGGGTCCATCGGGTGGCCCATGCTGTCAGGGCCACCCGATGGATGTGGATTGAGAGGGGGCCCGGTCAGCGCTGGGCGCTTAAACAGCGCGACTGGGCCCCCTATTATTACATCGCACGCTGGGAGGAAGTGACTGCACGTCACTCCTCCCAGCTAACACACAGACCACGCGGGAGGAAGACCAGGGAGTCAGAGTAGGAACTCTGACTCCCATCCACCTGAGCCACCACTGGACCCCAGGGAAAGTCACCCTCCTGCACCTAAAAGGTAGGAAACAGGTGGGTGAATAAAATATTTTGTGTGTGTATGTGTCTTTGTATGTATGTCTTGTGTGTGTGTGTGTGTGTGTGTCTATCTGTATATATATGTGTATGTATGTGTGTCTTGTCTTTGTATGTATGTGTTGTGTGTGTATGTCTTTGAATGTATGTGTGTCTTATGTATGTGTCTTTGTATGTGTGTCTTGTGTCTGTCTGTATGTGTGTATGTGTCTATGTATGTCTTATGTGTGTGTCTTTGTATATGTGTGTCTGTATGTATGTGTACCTGTCTGTTTGTATGTATGTGTCTTGTGTGTGTGTCTGTATGTGTGCGTGTGTGTGTCTGTATGTATGTGTGCCTGTCTGTATGTATGTGTCTTGTGTGTGTGTGTCTGTATGTGTGCCTGTATGTTTTTCTGCATGTATGTATGTATGTGTGCCTGTTTGTTTGTATGTATGCGTCTTTTTATGTGTGTCTTGTGTGTGTGTGTGTGTGTGTGTGTGTGTGTGTATGTGTGTGTATGTATGTATGTGTGCCTGTCTGTTATAGTGGGCTATAGTAAGTGGGCTACCTAGCTCAGCCTTCCTACTGGGCATTGCTATAAGGAAGGTTAAAAAATAGGAAAAAGGGATAAAAAAGGTGGGGAGGGGAATTGAGGAGGGAGAGGAGATGAACTGACGCACAGATGAGAAATCATATTATGCGCAAACAGAGAAGTCGTCTGAATATCACCGAAAGAGGAGACCTTTGTTTGTTCCTTACGAAAATCGAACCAGATATGAAATATTTAGTCTCGCAGCATCAGCCTCAAGGATCTCATTAATCACTAGTAAAGGTAATTTCAATTTACTTTATTGTTTTCCCATTAAACTTTATAAAGTAAAAAACATTATAAACATGCATTAAGTAGAAATAAAAAGATAAATGTACGTACATTTATTTATTTTTTTAAAACACCCTCCTTTCTAAAAAATATTCTGCACTTGCGCTATAACTGGTGGGCGGTAAGGACATTTTTCCATCAAGAAAGATGCATTAGTGGGCGGTAGGTAGAAAAAGGTTGACTACCACTGATTTAGTTTCTTTGTAAAACGCTCTTTCAATGACAATGGAATTTTTTAAAATCAAATTTCTTAATAAATGTGCAATTGCTTTATAATAGAGAGTGCAATATTATTTTCTGAGAGGTTTTCACGCTAGGATTTTCCTCATGATGTGGTCAGTCTTCAATAAGAACCAATAACACTTTTTAGCTTTTATGGTCACTTTTTATTTTAAGTGTGAAATCTGACACATACTTTTGCAGAAGGAAAAGGGGCCACCTCACATGCAAACTTGCAGTCTAGCAGGAGATGGGGTGATAAAGACAGTAAATCTTGACTATGAAATATGTGGTAGATAGTGAAGGAACATAGAATATCTAATATTCTTTTTTTTTTTTTTTATTCTTTATTTGTCATACGATAGGTTATAGCAAGTACAATACAACTTACAGGCTTACGCAGAAGCCAATAGCAAATATAACTTTCTTGGGCGTACAAAGTGTATTACGAGTACACATTGACAAGCCATTTAGAAACCTTTTGTGCCTTGCTTCCCATCGAGGATTTTAAGATAACTTTATGCTTCCACGCAACGGGTGAGACAACTGCACAGAAACATTCGGGCTTACGCAGAAGCCAACATAAGCATTGCAAGTAGCTAAAATGTACAGATCAGGTAGGCCATGCGAGATCTACCCGCGTCCCCTTACAGTCGCTGCCCCATCAAGGGAACTTTCACCTGTCTTTCAGGCATATTGGCTATAGTTGGGGCCCAGTCTGTAACCCTGCGTGTTATAGCTATTTCTGTTCATGGGCATCCCAGCACCTCCGACAGCTTGATTAAGCCTGGCGTATATAAATACTAGTCTCTTGATTTTCAAGAGATAAAATGAGAGAAAGGAAAAAAGAGAAAGATAGATAGCAGGAAAAGGAACAGGAACAGTATAAAAGAAAAGTGAGGGGAAAAATAAGTCAAGAGAAAGGGAAGGAAGAAGGGAGAGGAGAAAAGAGGGGGGGGGTGA